CAAGCGTCTCTTATTTTCCAGGTCTTTCTTCTGCAAAAGATTGATTATCCTTGCCCAAACATTTAAAATTCTAAACCAATCACTAAATAGCAAAGAAAGATTGATGAGCTAGGAGAAAAAAGGTTGTGAGTGATATATGTGTGGTGCTAGCTTCCACTATTACTACTGGTATTTCCCTGTAGGATGCAGGTAATATTTTCAATTTGCTGTTGTACTTAACAGACTCATCAGATCTTTTCACTTTGAACTTAGCATCATTATAGATGCTCCCTCTACCAGGGAATACTATCATGTCTAATAGTAATTTGCAGCTTTACTATCAACATTGAAATACAGAAAGTATTTATTTGTCTTTTCTGTTTTCAGCCATTTGGGGGTCAAAATGTATAGATTTATTGTTTTCTTTCCTTATAAACCCTAGAGGAAAGTGCACAAAATGAAAAAATACAGTGATTTATAACACCCTCGTGTAACTATCATGTAGATAAAAAAATAAAACATTATCAAATTCTCAAAAGGTCCCCTTGTTTACCCCCTCCCCCATCAATATTTCTTCCAAATTAACCATTGGTATTTTGCTAATGCTGATTACTTCCTGGCTTTTAAAATAATCTTATCAACTAAGTGTGTAGTCTGTTTAGTTTTGCCTGTTTTTGAATTTTTTAAAAAAAAATCCTCACCCAAGGATATGTTTTTATTTATTTATTTATTTATTTATTTATTTATTTATTTATTTATTTTTGAGAGAGAGAGAGAGAGAGAGAGAGAGAGAGAGAGAGAGAGAGGAAAGGAGGGGGAGAGAGAAAAAAAACATTGATGTGAGAGAAAAACATTGATCGGTTGCCTCCTGTAGGTACCTGGACTTGGAATTGGAATTGAACCTGCAACCTTGGTATGTGCCCTGATTGGGATTTGAACCCACAACCCTTGGGTGCATGAGACAACACTCTAACCAACTGAGTTATACTGGCCTAGGCTGTTTTTGCATTTTAATGTGAATGAAATGCATGTAATTCTTCACTCAACATGTTGTGAGATTCATCCATATTCTGGTATTTCATTGTATGAATGTAGCTCAGTTTGTGTGTTCTATGGTATATGGACATTGGTTTTTTGTGTTTTTTTTTTTTCCATTTTGGAGCTGTTATAATGTTGTTATGAACATTCTTATGCACATAAGCATGCATTTCTATAAAACACACCAAGAATAGAATTGCTAGGTCATAGAGAAAGCAGTCTTGAACTTTAATAGATAATGCCAAAATTTCAACATGGTTCTACCAATTGACATTTCACCAGTAGTGTGTGAGAATTTCCATTGCTATACATCCTTAAAAAAAAAATTTCAAGTTTTCTGCTAAGATAAATTTGGTAGGAAAATATTTCTGAAATATTAACTATGATGAAGCCTATGGTTTCCAATTTTCTGTGCTGTCCTTGTCTTTCAGTACTACAATCAAAAGTTGATATTTTTTAGAAAGAGTAATATAAAAAACTTTTAAATTTTATTTTTCAATTACAGTTTATATGCAATATTATTTTGTATTAGTTTCAAAAGGTATTTTACATTTTAATTGGATGCATGAAAGCAGTTAGTTTGAGATACTGTCCAATATTCTTTCTTTATACTTTTTATTGGCTTGTGTGAAAAACAGCTGTATTATTTCTAGTCATAATTACTGCTTTAAGCTGCCATTCCAAGAATCATAATAATTACTGCAATGAGAGTTATGGTCTGTGGTTTACAAAGTTGGATTTAATGAATAAATCTTTCCAGTTCCTCTGAGCCATTTTTTTTTGTTAGATTTAAAAAAAAAAAGTACAATCATTATAATGATCTGTATGACATTGAGTGGCTGGTTTCTGTTGAGTGAAGTAAAACAGACTTTTAACAGCTTGTGGGTAATGTCTGAAAGGTAAAGTGACATGAGATAAATGTTTGTGTTTCATTCTGAAAATAGCAAAAGGCATATGGAACCAAGATTTAACTTAATTGACTAGTAATATAATCCCGCTTTAAAAGTGCTTTGGAAAAAAAAAAAATTGTACTGTGATTTCTTTTTGCATAATTAATACTAACAATGGAAAAATAATTAAGAAGATAAAGATTTGAAAGTTGTAAATGCCAATTCAATTTTATAAATAATTGATCTGTTTGTGTGTGCATTTTAAAAATTCATATGCACTAAAGGAGAATAATTCAAAACTTTCTAGATAAAATTGTGTTTCTAAAAATACCAAATTTAGTCCTGGATTCTGTGGCTCAGTTGGTTGAGCATCGTCGCATGCAATGAGGGGTCGCTGGTTCGATTCCCGGTCAGGGCACGTGACTGGTTTGCAGGCTCAGTCCCCAGTAGGGGATGTGCAGGAAGCAGCCCATCAGTGTTTCTTTCTCTCTCTCCCTCTCTTTTCCTCTCTTTCTAAAAAATCAATAAAAAAAACAATCACAAAATAAAACTACCAAATTTGATGGAAAATTTAAATTTCTAATAGAATATGTATACTTAAAAATAGAATGGTTAAACCTCAGATTTTGGTTCATTATATAGTCATTTAATAGTAGGATTTTAAGCTGACAAGTTAGATATTTTAAAAGGATTGATGTAAACTTCATTTGAAAACAATTATAATTTAAAGATAGAAGATAAATGGTTAAAATGTTAAGTATGGTCTCACCAAATGTAGAGTAGTGTTAACATAAAAACATTCAAACCTGGAAGGAATTTTTGTGAGTTTACTTGAGCCAAACTATCAACATTTGCCAGGAAGCAGAATCTCCACAGATTGGGATGATGCTTCGGAGAATGGCTGTTTTTCACCTTGTTTTATACATTACAACCAAAGGAGGAGGCATAGGTGTATTACTTAAAATCCATTTGGCGACAGAGTAGAGAGGTGGGGGAAAGCAAAGGGAGGAAACCTCTGGGATTGGATAACTAGTAAAATGATAGACACATACTTCTTGCTTTTAGTTAAAGTTTAGTTTCAGACCATCCTTTGTGGTTACTTTAGGTCTTTGAATTTGCAAGACTGCCATGTAGGCCTTCCCTGAGCTTGTCAGGTTAGCATGTGGCCCCTTTCATCCACAGTAGCAGAAAAATATGCTATGTGCATGGTTATTTTTGATATTTAATAGGAATCAATCTTGTGCCAATTAAGGTTTATTTGCTTTTTCAGATTGGCTTAGAACTTGGAATATAAATTGATTGCAAAACTTTTTAGTTTAAACTGAATTAATGGTTTGGATTTCTAAAAACTTTACACTTCCTGTGTATAATCACAAAATGTCTGTGTTTTCTGGTAGTTGGGTAAAGGTAATGAATTTTATTTTAGGAAAAAATGATTGAATACAAATTTGGATAAGTGAAAGCCAAAGAGAGTACTGTTTTTTTTTTTTTTTTTTTAAAGAAGATAAAGTTTCTGACAAAATTAACAGGTTGAGAATAAAAATAAGAAAAATCGCCAAAACCGGTTTGGCTCAGTGGTAGAGCGTCGGTCTGCAGACTGAAAGGTCCCAGGTTCGATTCCGGTTAAGGGCATGTGCCTTGGTTGCGAGCACATCCCTGGTAGGGGGTGTGCAAGAGGCAGCTGGTGTTTCTCTCTCATCGATGTTTCTAGCTCTCTACCCCTCTCTCCTCCTTTCTGTAAAAAAATCAATAAAATATATTTTAAAAAAATAAGAAAAATCTACATGTACTTTGTTTTCTTTTTCATACTTGTGATAAATTTTGAAGCATATCATTTATTTGCTAGTCTTGTCACATCTGTAAGTAAATACAATATTCTTTTAAAATTTAATGTTAACAGATTCCTGATGATAGTATGTGAAGATGTTGGCATCCACATTCCCAATGTTCTCTATTGCTAATAGGTAGCCTGTCAAGACATTGACTATTTGGAAATATATTTAAACTTTTCAGCCCTTTAAAATCATTGACCCTCAGGTAAGCACAGTAAGTGTGAGGGATCTAGATCTATCTCATCATTTTTGGCCTTTTAGTGTTTTCAAGTGGCCTTAAAGAGCAAAAGAACTCAGAGATATCTTTTAGAAATTGTTATAATTAATCAGCTTATCACAACTGATAAGACAGGCAACATTTTATGTTAATATTCTTTTAATTTGAATGAACCTACGTTCTAACTTGCTGTGTTTCAAACTGTCTTTGATATATGCTGATTATACCATGTAGATTATACAACTTTAGTTCTTATATACCATCTTAATTTATTATATATTAAAAAAGTTTTAATCCACAGTTAAGTTTAATTCCTTGTTAAAGCAAAAAGGTCAACTTTATAGCACTTAGTTCTCTGCTTTGTAGTGTTTCAGAATCAGTTAAACAGTGAATCAACTTTGAGAGTCTTTTCAGATTATGTTCCATTGATTTGTATTGTTTCCTTTTCAAACTTAAAAAAAAATATTGGCCAAGTTTTTTGTTTGTTTGTTTTATTATTGATTTCAGAGAAGGGAGAGGAGAAGAGAGAGAAACATCAGTGATGAGAGCGAATCATTGACCAGCTGACTCACTACTGGGTACTTAGCCTGAAATCCAGGCATGTGCCCCGACCAGGAATCGAACTGTGACCTCCTAGTTCAGTGGTCGACAAGCTCAGTGGTCAACAGAGCCAAATATCAACAGTACAATGATTGAAATTTCTTTTGAGAGCCAAAATTTTTAAACTTAAACTATATATAGGTAGGTACATTGTTATTAACTTAATTAGGGTACTCCTAAGCTGGCCTTTGCCAAAAACTCAAGGGACCAAAGAGCAGCATGTGGCTCGTGAGCCGCAGTTTGCCGACCACTGTCCTAGTTCATGGGTTGACACTCAACCACTGAGCCACACTGGTTGGGCTGTATTATTTTCCTTTTAGACCCCAATAGTCTATCAAAAGAAAAACTGGAGTAAATAAAGAAAAGAAAAACCAACTGTGGGGTATAAAATAAGGTAGTGACAAGGAATGTCAGTTTCTAAACCTTTCATCTTTTACTTTTAAGATAAAGATACAGATATTACTGTGAGGGGCAATGTGGACGACTATGGCCTTCGAGACACCTTGAGCGTTGCTTCAACCGATTCCTTTGCTTCAGCAGCAGAGGTAGGTCATGTGTGTTCCTATTGAGGATTCACGTTCTTTGTCAGCTGGAGAGTACAGTTTGCCATTGTGCTGTAATTTAGTTCAGTAGCCACTTATTTAGCACATGGTAGATACCAGGATACAGAGATGAAAATGGCATGAGTGAAAGTTCTCAAAGGAGCTCATAATCTCTGTACAGAGGTGGACATGTAAACGCATCCTTTGAATAGGCACTTTTATATACTATAGATTATGGAAAGCAGTTGACCTTATATCAAGATTCTTAAAATAGTTAAGATTTTTTATCTCAGAAATCATACTTCTAAAGTGATTAGATGCAAAGATTTATATATAAAAACATTCACTTTGGCATTTTAATAATAATGAAAAACTGGAAACAGTCTAATGCTAAATTATGGAACATCCATAGTATTAAAATATTATAATGGTATAAATATGTTCCTAATAATTTTTAATGACATGGGAACATGTATTAAATGAGAAGGGTAGTATATAAAGAGTATGTGATTTTGAAATAGAAAAGAAAGAAAAACGTGTGTGGTATTTAATTATTTAGGCAGAGAAAAAAGACTAATAAAAGTTCACTAATGTATAAATAATAGTGGTCACTGAATTATAAATTTATAGATAATTTGTTTTCTACTGAGATTTAAATTTTGTACCAAAGAATGCTTACAAAGTGATAATCTTTTTATAATATTTTTTCTACTTAAGATAGGTTTAAAAGTCACCAATGGCCAATTTTATCGTAGAATAATTTAATTTTTATGATAGATTTTGGATACTGTTTTAAAAATATAAATAGTATCACACATCTGTAATTGAATTCATGCTGTAGTGTGGAAAGCTTTAGGTATGCTACCCAATACCCTGGGCCCTAAGTCTTGTTTCTGCCTTTTTAAAATTTCTACTGACCATAATATTTCATCCTCTCAAGATTTTTCTGTATATGTATATTGTCACTGCAGCTTATTGTATCATCTCTTGAATTATTTACATTTTTTCTTATATTTTTTTGCCTGTAAGTTTGCAATAGACAAAATATACCTACTGGTTTTATGGAAAAGCTGTTTCCTTTTCCTTTGCTATTTGATATAGACAGGCTTATGTTTTTGTTCTTTTTAAAATGTTTTTTCCATCTTTATTGAGATATAATTGACATATAACATTGTGTAAGTTTAAAGTGTACAGTGTGGCCCTGACTGGTTTGGCTCAGTAGATAGAGCTTTGACCTGCAGACTGAAAGTTCCCAGGTTCGATTCCGGTCAAGGGCATGTACCTTGGTTGCAGGCTCATCCCCAGTAGGAGGTGTGCAGGAGACAGCTGATTGATGTTTCTCTCTCATTGATGTTTCTTTCTTTCTTTCTTTCTTTCTTTCTTTTTTTTTTAATATATATATTTCATTGATTTTACACAGAGAGGAATTAAGAGGGATAGAGAGTTAGAAACGTCAGTGAGAGAGAAACATTGACCAGCTGCCTTCTGCACATCCCCCACTGGGGATGTGCCCACAGCCAAGGTACGTGCCCCTGACCGGAATCGAACCCGGGACCTTTCAGTCCGCAGACTGACGCTCTATCCACTGAGCTAAACCGGTTTCGGCTCATTGATGTTTCTGTCTCTATCCCTCTCCCTTCCTCTCTGTAAAAAAAATCAATAAAAATATATTTTAAAAAATAAAAATATAGAAAATGAAGTGTATAGTGTGATGATTTAATACACATGTATCGATATTGTGAAGTAATTACCACAGTGAGGTTGGTTAACACCTTCATCACCTCACATAATTACCTTTTTGTGCGTGTGCGTGCGTGCGTGCGTGCGTGCGTGCGTGTGTGTGTGTGTGTGTGGTGAGAACATGTAAGATCTATCTACTCTCTTAGCAACTTTTAAGTAAATAATACAGTATTATCATCTACTAGAGGCCTGTGCATGAAATTCATATACAAGTAGGATCCCTAGGCCTGGCTGGTGATCGGGGCCAATCTGTAGGTCCCTGCTGCACCTGCTTTGGCTGGCCTAGCCCACCTGCTTGCCGGCCTTAGCTTCCACAGCCGGTTGCCTCCCTTAGTGGGGCAACTGGCAAGGTGATATGGGGGCCCCTGCTTATACCTTGGCTGGCCTGGGGCCTCCGGGCTGGAGGCAGCTCCTGTGTTGAGCATCTGACCTACGGTGGTCAGTGCGCTTCACAACAACTGGCCATTCTGCTGGTTGTTCCACCATTGATTTGCATATTAGGCTTTTCTTATATAGGATAGTTGCCATACTGTACATTAGATCCCCAGAGCTTATCTTCTCACCAGAGGTTTACACCCTTTGACCAATATTTCCCCATTTTCCCCACCCCTGAGCCCCTTGCAACCACCATTCTACCTTCTGTTTCTATAGGACTAGCCTTTTTTTGTCATTTGTTTTGTTTTTGGCCCTTTTGCATTTCACATGTAAGTGATGCCGTACATGTGATATGTCTTTCTTGTCTGATTTATTTCACTTAGCATAATGTTTTAAGGTTTCGCCCTTATTGTTGCAAATGGCAGGATTTTCTTCTTTCTCATGGATGAATATTTCATTGTATATATACTATATATTGCATCTTCTTTACTCATCCATTGATGGGCACTTAAGTTGTTTCCATATCTTGGTTATTTTTAAAAATGTTGCAATGTACATAGGATAGTACAGATTTTTTTTTAATATAGTGACCTTATTTCCTTTGGATATATACCCAGAAATGGGACTGCTGGATCACCCAGTAGTTTTATTTTTACTTTTTCAGGGAACCTCCATATTGTTTTCATAGTAGCTATACTAATTCACATTCCTGCCAACAGTGCAGAAGCGTTCCCTTTTCTTCAAATCTTCATCAACACTTTTATCTCTTGTCTTTTGATAATGGCCATTCTGACAGGTCTGAGTGGGTCTCTCTGTGGTTTTGAGTTACATCTTCCTGATGATTAGTGACTTTTCATGCACCTGTTTGGCCATTTGTGTCTTCTCTGGGAAAATGTTTATTTGGATCCTCTGTCTTTTTTTTTTTAAACCTCATGGGAGCTTGGCTGGTGTGACTCAATGGTTGAGCATTGACCTATGAACCAGGATGTTACGGTTCAACCAGATGTCATGGTTCAATTCGTGGTCAGGGTACATGTCGGATTTGTGGGCTCAATCCCCAGTGGGGGGCACTCAGGAGGCAGCTGATTGATGATCCTCTCTCATTGATGTTTCTATCTCTGTCTCCCTCTCCCTTCCTCTCTTAAATCAATAAAAATATATTCTTTTTTTTTTTTTTTTTTTTTTTTTTTTTTTTTTTTTTTTTTGGTGGAAGGGAAATCAGTTTATTCAAGAGCTGGCAGATTGAGAAGATGGTGACTCAAGTCCCAAAGACACTCTTTTTTTTTTTAAATCAATCTTTATTGTTCATATTATTACAAAGGTTCCTCTTTTCTTCCCCCCTCCACCAGGTTCCCACCCCCCCTCCACCCCCTCCCCGGCCCCCATTGTCCTCATCCATCGGTGCACAGTTTATGTTCAGTTTCTTCCTCCCTCCACCACTCCCCTCCCATATCGCCGGCTCTACTACAATGAACAGCTATTATTGTTCATCAGGTTTTTCAATCTCCTTTTTGTTGTTGTTGTTGTTGTTGTTTTTTAAATTAATAAACTTTTACACTTCTAAGAATAAATTTTAAAATCTAATAATTTTAAGCCTTGTTTTTTTCTGCCCTGGGAATTGAGATGCAAACTTGTTTACATGTAAACTTGCCCTTAGGCTATTCAAAGGTGTAGCCATTCAAGTGTAAATGTACACATTGTTTAAACATAGCTGCTGGTTGGAATTGGATTTCCTGTTCTGGGTGGGAAGGGCTTGTCTTCCCCTTTCTCCATTAAAATTAAGGTGTTAGCTTTAAAATCTCTTCTTGGCAACAGACCTTAAACTTTCAGAACTTTAAATTTTTCAGATAGTAAATCAGTTACTTAACATTTTCTCAAATCAATAATACCTCCACATGCCCAAGGATACACTTCACACAAAAGACATTTCCAAATAGATCAACCAACCTCATCCAGGCCCCACACAAGGCACTCACAGATCAATACCCCAGTGTTATACTAACTCAACACATCCAGATCTAAGCCTTCATCACTTGATTCAGCAGACCCTCAAGTTCCCCCAAAAGTTTCCAGCTATGTCTGAGGGGCAGCCCTGGGGCGTGGGCAGGCAAGGAGCGAGCTGTTTCGGGCCTGGATGCTCTGGGCCTGGCCTCTGTTGCTCTGGTCCGTTCCACAACCAGCTGCTCCGGGTCTGGCCACTGCCGCTCCCGGCCTGGCTGCTGCTTCTCCGGGCCTGGCCGCACCCGACCCGGCTGCTCTGGACCCGGCTGCTCCTAGCCTGGCAGCTGCTGCTCCTGGTCTGGCCGCACCGACCCAGCTGCTATGGGCCTGGCCGCTCCGGGCCTGGCTGCTCCCACTCTGGCAGCTGCTGCTCTGGGTCTGGCTGCTCCCGACCGGCTGCTCTGGGCCCGGCTGCTCCAGGCCCGGCCACTCCGGGTCTGGAAGCTCCCGACCTGGTTGTTCCGGGCTTGGTTGCTGCTGCTCTGGGCCTGGCTGCTCCCAACCTGGCTGCTCTGGGCCCGGCTGCTCCTGGCTGCCACAGCCCCAGGTCTGGCTGCTCCCGACCTGGCTGCTGGTGTTCTGGGCCTGGCCACTCCTGACCCGGCTGCTCTGGGCCCGGCTGCTCCGGGCCCGGCTGCTCTGGGCCTGGCCGCTCCGGGCCTGGCCGCTCTGGGCCTGGCCGCTCTGGGCCTGGCAGCTGCTGCTCTGGGCATGGCTGCTCCCGACACTGCTGCTCTGGGCTTGGCTTCTCTGGGCTTGGCCACTCCGGCCCTGGGTGCTGCTGGACTGGCCACCCTGGGCTTGGCCGCCTCCGCCTCAGGCCTGGCTGCCACTACCCCAGGTCTGGCTGCTCCAGGCCTGCCTGTTGCTGCTCTGGTTCTGGCTGC